TCAGCCCTGGCTGTCCTGAAACAGAGCGCTGGGATTAAAGGCGAGCGCTACCACATCCAGGCCCCACAGGACCATCTTATTGGCCTTGAATTTGATTTAAACTTGAACCCTCTCCTATTTGGGGCCCTTTTCTCTCTCGTTCACTTTCAGTTCTGTTCCTTATTCCAGAATTGGTCCTGCATCTTTGGGCCTTAGATCAACCACTTTCTGTATCTTAATTTTATCTTGACTGAGGCCTCAGTGAAGCATGTAAAAGGTGCTTTTCACCAAGTCTGACACCTGAGGTTGATCCCTGCTTCCCATATGGTGGAAGACATTGTATTGGAATCTGAGCATAAATGTCTGAATGTTTGGTAGGTTCCAGTCATTCTTCCAATGTGCCCTTCTTACAAGATTGTCGTGTGAATTGGATTTTCTTTTATATATTTTTGTTTGGTTTTCACATTACAGCTTGGACATCTTTTAGCAGCCACCTGCAAAGAACTTCCAGGCCCTAAAGAGAGTAGACGGACTGCGAAGGACCTTTGGGAAGTTGTTGTTCAGATCTGCAGTGTGTCTAACCAGCACAAGCGAGGAAGTGATGGCAGGGTTAGTCTAATAAAGCAGAGGGAGTCCACGCTGGGAATAATGTACCGGTATGTTTCTCTTGTGATGTCTTTGCATTGCATTAGTTTACACTCTTGTACTTATTCAAGAACATCTTTATCGGGCTGGAGAGATGGCTCAGCGGTTAAGAGCACTGACTATTCTTCCCGAGGTCCTGAGTTCAATTCCCAGCAACCACATGGTGGCTCAAAACCATCTGTAATGAGATCTGGCACCCTCTTCTGGCATACAGGGAGGCAGACTGTTGTATATATAATAAATAAAAAATCTTTTTAAAAAAAAAAAAAGAACATCTTTATCCTGTGAACTGTAAAGACAGATAATCTAGGGCTGTGGTGCAGCTACTTTAGTATTTCCTAATGTTCACAGGGCTGCGGGTTCATCTGTGCAAAACAAAACCCAAGATGTATAACTAATACATTATACATATAGGTATGTATAGGCACATGTATATATGTATAATAATCTGGTCCACAAGAGCTAGTTCCTAGACAGGCCCCAAAGCTATAGAGAAACCCTGTATTGAAACACCCCCTTGCCCCCCAAAAAAAGGGAATTCTGGAGAGGAACACAATGGAATGCGCCTTTAATCACAGTTCTTGGGAGACAGAAAAGGTGGATCTCTCTTGAGTTCGAAGCCAATATAGTCTATATCGTGAGTTACAAGACAGCCAGAGCTAAATAGTGAGATTCTATCTCAAAAACCAAAAAGGAAAACACAAAAGAATTGTGGGCTGGTGAGGTGCTCGCTGTGTGAAGGCATTACTACCAAGCCTGACACCTCAAGTTCTGTGCTACCCTTAATTCTGTGGTGCTCCTTTTTGTTTAAGAAGACTGTCTATCAGCAATTTATTTATTTATTTGCCTGCTTTGCTTGGGGGTGGTTGCACGTGTGTGGAGGTCAGAGGGGCACTGGACAAGTTGGTCTTTCCTGGTTTCTCAGGTGTGCTCCAAGGGTCTAGTTGGGGCCATCAGGCTTATCAGAAAGTGCCTTCACCCCCTGGGCCATCTTGTCAGCCCCAGCAATTACTTCAAAATCAGCAGTGTCTGCGGTTGGATAATATTGAGGCATTTGTGATTATGACAATGTGTTTGTCTTACACTTCTTTTTGGTTTTTGAGACAGGGTTTCTCTGTGTAGCTTTGGCTGTCCTGGAACTCATTCTGTAGACCAGGCTGGCCTTGAACTGAAAGATCCACCTGCTTCTGCCTCCCCCCCCCCCCCAAGTGCTGGGATTAAAGGCGTGCGCCACTTGCCTGGCTAGACATACTGTTCTAACTAAGATGGGGAGTAAAGCATTACACAGTTATATTCTTTATGTTACTTTAATGTCTGATATTAATTACATATACTTTTTTTTGTAGGAGTGAGCTACTTTCTTTTATCAAAAAATTACGGGTAAGTTTTTAATATAATTACTGAGTTTTATAAGATTTCCATATTCTGGTTGATCCCTAACTTGTTTGTCTGGAGTGATCTTTATTGAGCAAGGATAATCTGAATCAAAAAATGAAGTTTGCTTGCTGGTTTTAATAAATATAGTGGCCCCTTTTTAAACTAAGTCTTAGGTTAGCTTTGGTGACATAACTTGGGCTTCATCTTTTAAATACCATTTTAAACAAATACACAGTTTAATTTTGAAAGTAGCTAGAAGTCTTGGGAAGATAGCAAAAGTCACATCAAAGGTACGCTGTGGGTGTACTCAGTCAGTGACTTAGTGTTTGCTCAGGGGGTTGGGTTCAGTTTCCTAGCAATTCTCTCCCAAAAACATGGGAAAGAAAAGAAGACAAAAAGATAGCATAGTGATTTTAAGTCAGGGATATAAATGTGATGATTTCAGTGTATATTACGTGCTGTGACTATTCTGAAACTGAAAGTGACTTTTAGTATCCTGCACTGTAGATCCCAGATTCTCAACTGATAAGGAAGTACTTGGGCTGGGCCGTGATTGCTAGCACCTTTAATCACATCACTTGGGAGGCAGAGGCAGGAGGATCTCTGAGTTTGAGGCCAGCCTGGTCTACAAGAGCTAGTTCCAAAACATTGAGAAACCCTGTCTGGAAGGAAAACAAAAAGTACTTGTCTCTCAGATTGACAGGACACACGTACCAGCACACAAACTTTCTTAATATTCTTGTGCTTCTTTCTCATAGGAACCGCTGGTTCTGACTATTATTTTATCACTCTTCGTGAAGCTTCACAATGTTCGGGTCAGTATCTTGTAATTTCAGTTAAAAATTATTTGAAAGGTATTGTTAAAAATCATACTGCTTAAAAAATAAAAAGCACATTTTTCTTTCTAAAAGGAGGACATTGTGAATGATATCACAGCTGAACACATTTCTATCTGGCCGTCTTCCATTCCTAAGTAAGTAGTACTCTGTGCTTAGAGTAAGTCACACATTCAGACATCTTCTGTGTGGCGTAGACCCCTGGGTAAAGAGTGTAGAGATTCCACAGACATCTTCTGTGTGGCGTAGACCCCTGCGGTAAAGAGTGTAGAGATTCCACAGACATCTTCTGTGTGGCGTAGACCCCTGGGTAAAGAGTGTAGAGATTCCACAGACATCTTCTGTGTGGCGTAGACCCCTGCGGTAAAGAGTGTAGAGATTCCACAGACATCTTGTGTGTGGCGTAGACCCCTGGGTAAAGAGTGTAGAGATTCCACAGACATCTTCTGTGTGGCGTAGACCCCTGCGGTAAAGAGTGTAGAGATTCCACAGACATCTTGTGTGTGGCGTAGACCCCTGGGTAAAGAGTGTAGAGATTCCACAGACATCTTCGTGCTTTTCTGCTGTTATTTTCCTCGTCATTAGAAAAGTAATTGATTTCCTAATTACTTGTAGATCTTTTCTGTTGCTTTGATTTTTATCATCAGTCTCCTGACCCCTTTGGCTGTCATAGGACCAGCCCCTCCATTCACCTTCCTTCCTGTGCATGGGTTTCTTTTTGTAGTCTGGGCCAGTCTTGAACTCTCAGTCCTGTCTCAGTCTCCCCAGTTACCGGAGTATAGCATCTTGGCAGTTGTATGGCCTAGTTTTTGTCTCAGACTTCTGCCGTCCTCCTACGCTTACTATGTTCCCAACATCATTTTTTTAAATTTTTCTGACATCTTTAAGGAAGAAAGGATTTGGTAGGTGGGAGGAAGGTAGCACAGTGGATATGAAGAGTCTTCTGTCACACAGAGACTTAAGAACAGGTCTGCAGTGTGCTATGCTCATCATTCTAGAGCACTGGGACCCAGGAGGATGGAGCTGATGGATGAGCTGGACTAAAGTCTCATGCAGTAGCCAACTTTCTCAGAGCATCAGACAGTTTGTACTCTGAGGGATAAGAGTCACAGAGTAAAGTGTCCCTGTCACAAGGCAAGCTGTGGCAGACAAGTCGTAAATGGCAAAACACATGCTTTTCCGTAAAGCCCCATGAACAAAATAGCCTGTTGTGATGAATATTCCCAAGTACACTCACTCGGACCCCCTACCCATGGGAGGGCACAGAAGCTTAATCCAGCTCATGTTCATAAGAAGCAAACATGGCTTGTACTGGAGCCCTGAAGCATGCCTCTTTGTGTACTAGGGATGTGACTGTGAGCAACTTAATTTTTTTCCTGAATTCTTCATTGCTAAAATGGGTATAGTATTTATCCTTGAAATGTGAGAGTTAATAAGTTAGTGCAGGCTTAATTGCTGTCCTTTATGATGGTAATACTTTAAGTTGATTCTGAAAAAAGAAAAGATTTGAACAGAAAATATATTTTGCCTGATCAGGAGTTCTTATGGATTCCTAAGATGGTGACACTGGATTAAGTGTTACTGTCTGCTTATCACATAAACAGGATTCTTTGACCTGTTAACATTTTATAGATTTAGCAAAATAACATAAGTCAGTTGAATTCCTTTGGTTGTGAATGTAGAGCTGGTTGTTTGCTGACAGCACTGTCAGTCTTCATCGTGCTGGTGTAGCCGTGAGCCATGATAAAGTCTAACAGCTCCTTAGGCCCGGGATTGCTCTGTCACATCTTCTGGTGGAGGGCAGCAGCCTCTGAGCGTATCCGCTTCTGAGCCTGAGACCTGGGTCCCTTTTCACTAAGCCCTTTTCACTGGCTTCTAGGAAAGAGGAGCAAGGAACCGCTTTCCTGGATGCTGGCTTGGCTGTATGCAGGCCAGAGCATCTGGCCTTTCCCTACTGCTGTGTTTGACTGCGTTGCTGTGTAGAGCACTGAATGCGTATTTGCCTCCCTAACCTGCAACCTCATTATGGCAATGAAACACCCAATGCAGAACACACTCTTGGGAGAAATCCTGGGTAGACTTCAGGTCACATAACAGTGTTCGTTAGTATTCCAGCCGTTGGTTTTTGTGATTTCTCTAAGGCAGAATTTTGTTGTAGCTCTAAGTAATGATAAACGGAGGTAAAGGCTGTGTCATAGTGTGCCTGTTTACATTCTGACTGCGTCTTTGTTTTTTAATCGAAAATAGAGATTAATGTGTGATACTTTTTTTTAGCCTCCAGTCTGTGGATTTTGAAGCTGTGGCAATCACAGTGAAAGAGCTAGTTCGATATACACTCAGTGTAAATCCAAATAATCATGCTTGGCTTATCATTCAAGCAGATATTTATTTTGGTAAGTGAGAAATTCATTGCTTTATGCTTTGTTTGTGCCAGGTCCTCTGGAAGAGGACGATGCACTCTTTCCTATCCTCTGAGCCAACTCCTGAGGTCTCGCAATGTCAGCGAGGCGTGTTTGTAAAATTGCTGTTTAAAACCTTACCCTGGGCCGAGAAGAATGGTGGAGTGGGTAAAGGTGCTTCCTACCAAGCCTCATGACCTGAGTCCAATATCCAGGGCCCATATGGCCTGCATATGTGCTAGGGTGTTCACACACCCAAATAAATAATATAAATAAGTGTAAAAATTCTAACTACGTGTGGTTTCTCATCCTTTTAATCTCAGGACAAGAAATAATAAAATAAAAATAAAACTTTCATGTATACAATAATTTTTGTCTCCCCCCTCCCTCCCACAGGGTTTGTCTGTAGCTTTGGGACCCGGCCTGGAACTAGCTCTTGTAGACCAGGCTGGCCTTGAACTCACAGAGATCTGCCTGCCTCTGCCAGGGATTAAAGGCACGTGCCATCACCACCAGCACTGGGTGTTGTAAGGGTTGAGATATGGTCTTTTGTAGCCCATTTAGGCCTGGGATTCATGACTTAGCTGAGGATTGCCTTAAACGTCTCTCATGATGCCTCCCCTTCTCAAGTGCTAGGATTGTAGTTGTGCACCACAGTAGTCAGCTACTGCTTGTTTTTAACACTTATTTTCACCCTAGCTGTCCCAAGAATGCATTGCCAAACCCAGATGTCTGATTGCACACCGGATATGTAGATTCTAAGATACATTCAAAAATTAGAATATATTTCTAGTCTGGATATATGGGAAATAAAAATCTCCGTTATAATAAATCTTGTAGTTAGCAGATCGTAGTGGTAGTGTGCTCCTTTAATCCCAGCACTCAGGAGGCAGAGCCAGTGGATCTCTGAGTTCAAGTCCAGTCTGCTCTACGGAAAGAGTTCCAAGATAGCCAGGGCTACATAGAGAAATCGTGTCTCGAAAACTAAAACTATATATCATGTACTATTTTCCTTGCATGTCTGCCTGCAAGCCAGGAGAGGACACCAGATCTTATTACAGATTGTGTTGTGAGCCACCATGTAGTTACTGGGAATTGAACTCAGGATCTTAACCAGTGCTCTTAACCTCTGAGCCATCTCTCCAGCCCCCTTTACTATAAATTTAATGAGAAATCTGAGCTAGATTTTGTCTAATCAGTATTAGGATGTAAATAATTTATTGTATCATTTTGAAAAGTCTTTCTGGTTTTTTAAAAAATTTTTTTAAATATATAAAGTCAGTTTTACACAATGTTATTCTGAATAAAAATGTTATCATTCCTTAGCCAGATGCAAAGTTTTACTGTTTTTAAAAATAACATTTGTGTGCCAGGTGGTGATGGTGCACACCTTTAATCCCAGCATTCGGGAGGCAGAGGCAGGTGGATCTCTGTGAGTTCAAGGCCAGCCTGATACAGAGGTAGTTCCAGGACAGCCAGGACTGATGCACAGAGAAACTCTGTCTCAAAAAACCATTTAAGAAAAACCCAACCCCTCCAAAAAAACATTTTATGTGTGTGTGTATGGCATACATGTAGAGTTCCGATAACAACTGTGGAAGTCACTTCTCCCTTTCTACCATGTGGTCCCAAGGGTCAAACTCGGGTGGTCAGGCTTGGTGGCAGCACCCTTTACTTGCTGAGCCATCTTGCTGGCCGCAGAATTTTATCTTTAACTTGTTTGAATCTGTTTCTACTCTTGTGTTTTATTGGCAAGTCACTCTTTGCTCCTGCTTCCTGTTATAGCAACAAATCAGCATTCGGCAGCTCTTCACTATTACCTGCAGGCTGGAGCTGTGTGCTCTGACTTCTTTAACAAGGCTGTGCCTCCTGATGTTTATACAGATCAAGTAAGTTGTTTTGTGGACTTGCTTGCTTCTTGCCTAACTTTAGTGTAGAACTTCGCTGTTGCTGTGTATGTGATGAGAACACTCAGGTTGATGGCTTAGACCCTAGTGCTCCCCATTTGTTTGGTTTTGGTCCTTTGGAGGTAGTATTGATATATAGCTCATATTAGCCTGGAACTTCTAGTGTTCCACCTGCTTCAGCCTCCCCAGGGCTAGGATTACAGGCATGTGCCACCATGCCCAGCTTGTGTCTCCTTTTCAGGGACAGTATCTACAATGCTTATGGCATTGCCTTTCATGGCTACCACTTTTGTGATGAGAACACCTGATGTCAGGAATCAGCTGTTATGCATACTTGTAACCAAGTCTGAGTAATACATATATCTTTAAAAAGCAAACAAAAATCTCTAAAGCCCACTCTTTATTGTTGCTGTTTGTTTCTGAGACAGGGTCTCTGTGTAGCCCTGGCTGGTCTGAAATTCACTCTGTTGACCAGGCTGGCCCCAAACTCAGAGATCTGCCTGCCTCTGCTGCCTTCATGCTGAGATTAGAGGTGCATACCACTGTGCATGGTCTGTGAATCTGTTCTTTCTAGATTTTTTTAGTGCACATTGTAGTACCGTTGTGATCTCTCCAGTGTTAGTGTCTCACCCAGGACTCGTGTGTGCCACTCAAGAGCTATCCTGTTGAGCTACATCTGCAGCTCCAAGACAAGCGAGCCACTCCCCTGCTGTCCGCTAGTGCTCTAGATGCACTCGTCTTGCCGACATGCTCCGCCCTCCATCTCTAACTCAAACTACATTATATTTTGCTTTTAATATATTTTGCTATTATATCTGATTAGACTACTAGTTTAACAATGGAAATTTTCAGTATTTAACAAGTCTTAAAAGTAATATTTAAAATTTTTTTTATAGCATTGTAAACTAGCGAAAGTGAACGGGAAGCCCTGAGTTGTACACAGCTACTGTCCCTCTCCTAGACTCCCTGCTCCTCTGCTGTTGACATCTTGTTCTGGACTGGCACATGTATGGCAGTCAGTGCCAGCTAATTTTTAAATACTCCTTGTCTTTTTTGTAGGTGATAAAGCGAATGATAAAGTGCTGCTCCCTGCTGAATTGTCACACACAGGTTAGTTTGTGATGCTGTGCCATTAGCTGCTATTCACGTGATTATATGTAAATGCGTGCTGGGAAGTAGATTTTATTTTGTATTAGAATGGCTGTCAGTAGCTTAGCATTTTCTTAGCAGTTATAGAACTGAACTAGATGCAGGTAGGAATTTGTAAGCACTGACCATTAAACTTAACTGCAGAAGAAGCACTTTATGCTTTCTTATATTTGTGATGAGATACGTGTACTAGCCATTGGTAGTCAGCCAGGGTTGTGGAAGAATTAGAATCCGTATGCTGCTAGGAAATTGAAAAGGTGCAGCTTTGGCAAACTATTTGGCAGTTCCACTTCTACTTAAATACCCAAGAGAATTAGAAAAGGTTGTACTTGAATGTCCATAGCAGCAACATTCACCAGAGCCAAAAAAATAAAGAAAAAAAATCCTAGTGTCCATTAACTAATGTATGGTTAAGCAAAGTGTGATGATCTGTACTTCAAAATCCTGCAGCTATGTAAAGGAATGAATTACAGATGTAACACGGCATGGATTAACTGACAAACTGCTAAGTGAAAGACAGGGCTTATATAGATTCTGATTCCACTTGTAAGAATGCTCATAATAGGCACCTCACTGCTTATCAGGGGCTTGATGGAAAAGAATGGGGAGTTTGAATCTCTTTAATATGCTTTAGAACTAATGGGGATGGTTATACAATTTTGTAAAGATATTAGACATCTGTGGGTGTTTTGTTTTTTGAGACAGAGTTTCTCTCTGTCTTGATGTCCTGGAACTCACTTTATACATCAGACTGAGATCTACCTGCTTTGCCTCCCAAGTACAGGGATGAAAGGTGTTTGCCAACTCCACTGGCCTTTTGTTTGTTTGGGGTTTTTTGTTTATTTGTTGAGATAAGGATTCTTATGTACCTTTGACTGTCCTGTGTTTTATTTTTTTTAAAAAGATAAAATTTTACAGCATATGAACTAATACAAATAGTTTCTACTTTTTTTTTTTTTTTTTTTTGAGACAGGATTTCTCTGTGTGGCCTCAGCTGTCCTGAAACTCACTGTGTAGACCAGACAGAGACCCGTCTGCCTCTGCCTCTCAAGTGCTGGGACTAAAGGCATGCGCCACCACCCAGCTTTCATTTTTTTAAAAGGCTTATTTATACATAATAAGTATAATGTTCTGCCTGCATGCCAGAAGAGGGCACCAGATCTCATTATAGACAGTTGTGAGCCACCATGTGACTGCTGGGAATTGAACTCAGGACCTCTGGAAGAGCAGCCAGTGCTCCTAACCTTATTGCCATCTCTCTAGCCCCTCAGTTTTTATTTTTAATTTCTGCTTTTTCTAATACGGGAGATGAACCCTGATCAACACAAATTCTACCAAGTGTTGAAATACTGACCCAACACTCTCAGTTCCAAGATAAGCACTCAGACCTATCTGCGTGATTGAACTAGATGCATTCTGTGTTTAGAGACTGGTGGCCTATTCCATGTCTGCCAGTTCTTAAGGGCATAGCTCCATGTCACTCATGTCCTTGAGTGCCAGGATGTTCCCTTGTTGTCAGCCTCCTTCTTCAGCTCATTTTTCAAATGAAGAGAGATCTAAAACTCTGTGATTTAGGTTACTGATGACCTAGCTTGTGGTTCAGATAGACACAAAAATCTTGCGTAAAGGTTTTTGAAACAAAAGTTAAATGGGATCCACAAATATGAGCTGACTTTATCCAGCATGATTTCAAGTATTCTAAAGAATATATTTACCGGGCTGAATTATTGACTTGTCATCTAAGGACAGTGAAGTTCTTCTCTTCCAGAGGATCTGGGCTCATGTCCCAGTACCACAAGTCAGCTCACAGCTGTCTGCTACTCCAGGTTTGGGGGATCTTGTTTAAGACAGGGTTTTTCTGTCCTGCAACTCACTCTGTAGACCAGGCTGACTTTAAACTCAGAGATCCACTTGCCTCTGCCTTGCAAGTGCTGGGATTAAAGACCTGCACCACCACCACTGCCTGGCAGTTCTGGGGGATCTTACATAGTCTTCTGGCCTCTGCAGGCCCCAGGCACACATATGGTGCTTAGATGTACATGAAGACAAAACACCCACCACATAGAATAAGATAAATGTGAAAAAAAAAATTATTCTCCCAAACCAGGAAGGGTCACATTACCCTTTTCAAAAATTTGTTTCCATAGGTGGCAATTTTATGTCAATTCCTCAGAGAAATTGACTACAAGACAGCTTTCAAGTCATTGCAGGAACAAAACAGGTATGGATTTGTGTTTTTTTTTTTTTTTTTTTTTTTTAAACTTGTTGCTGAATCTTTTCGGCATAAGTAATGAGATTCTGTTTTGCAGCCATGACGCTATGGACTCCTACTATGACTACATTTGGGATGTCACCATCTTGGAGTACTTGACCTGTATCCTTCTATCAGTGAATGTGATATTACAGCAGTTCATGTCTGTAATTAAAGTATTTTGTCAGGGGTTAGGTAGCACACAATCCCAACACTCGAGAGGCAGGAGGATCTCTGTGAGTTTGAGGCCAGCCAGGGCTACACAGAGGAACCTTGACTTGAACCTCCCCCCCCCCCAAAAAAAAAAAGAAAAAAGAAAAAGTATCTTATGGAACATATTTTCCAACCTAAAATAAAAACAGTTCATAATTTTAAAAATATATTACATATATGATTGTGCATATTCTGCAGTGTGAATATCACACACTCAACACTGAAGACAGCCTTGAAGTCAGCTTTCTTTTGCCATGTAGTCTTGGGGTTGAGCTCCCATCATCAGATTTGACAGCAAATGATGAACCACCTCGCCAGCCTTAAAGAGTCAAGATCCTATCATGATGTAACAATCAGTTTTATTATTCTTAACTGACACGTTTAGATCTTCATCATAAAAGAGGAGAAACAGATAAAAGACAGATTGCTGTAAGTTGCTTTACCCCGTTCTGCAGTGATGTTGTTTTCAGAATATTAATTTAGATTTGTACCATTGAGCAAAGAGTGTTTGCCCATTTACTGCCAGAATTTAGTTATCTTTATCTACTTGTAATGTTACTTGACTTTATTAGAGCATTGTATTTACCTGTTGTAAATCTTCAAGTGAGTTTTCATCTCACTGGATCCTTATAGTGACTTACTGGTTTAGTTTTTCCCTTTGTTAACGTTAATACACATATCCCTACTATTGTTCAAACATGTTAAGAAGACTACTTCTCTGGGGAGGGTCCTTTGGTGTTTTCTTATCTGGGAGCATTCAGGTTCCTCAGGTCTCTGCCTTGCTATTTTAGTGGTTAGCCTTCCCTGGACATCTTCTAGACTAGCATGCCTCCACCACCTTCCTACTCTTATTCTCTCTCTCTGCAACATCTGCCAACATTTGACATGCTATGTATTTACTCTTCTGTGAAGCCTTGTTCATAGAAAACTAGAATGGTGCCCAACAATTACTGAACAAGTACTTTAAATTTTACTTGTATCTTTTTTTTTTTTTAAACATTTCTGTGTATGTTTGGGTGTATTTTAATAGTCAGAGAACAACTTACATTAGTCTATTATCTCCTAGTATCTGAATGTCAAAGATTGAAACTCAGGATATCAGGTTTGACAGCAAGCTTTTACCCACTGAACATCTTGCTAGCTATCTTAGGGTTTCTATTGCAGTGAAGATCCACCATGACCACAGGAGCTCTTATAAAGGAAACATTTAATTGGGACTGGCCTACAGTTTGCCTGCTCGACTGAATGCTGTACCTTCTTCCATCTACTAATGCTGTATATACATTGTGTTTGTAGTGTTTAAGTGTGGCCACACTTGTGCTATGGGGCATAAGAGGTGGTCAGAAGATAACCTTGGGTGTTGATCCTTGCCAGAAGGTAGAAACTTTGAGACAGGCTCTTTTGTTCATTGCTGGGTACATTAGACAGTGGGTTCTGTAGGGTTCTGGGAATTGTCTTGACTTCCCATCTCTTCACAGAGCATGCTAGAATTACAGATGTGTCTCCCCAGTGCATGTGTGTGATGTGTACCACAGTATACATATATAATTCAGAAGGCAGTTTTTGAGAAACTAGTTCTACCATGGCACCATCAGGCTTGCATGGCAAGTACTTTTACCAATGATCCAGCTTGCTTCTGTTCTCCCATTTACCTGGGGTTGGAAAGTAATATTCTTAGTAATCCCTTGGTATTTTTATACTGCATCATTAAAAAGCATTTGAGATTATATCATTTCTCCCTCCCTTTCCTCTCCAAGCCCTCTCATATACCCTTTTTTTCTCTCAAATTCATGGCTTTGAAAAAGTAATTGTTCCATGCATGTATGTGTATGTATATACACAATAATAAACAGATGGGGACTCTTCCCTGGTCTGGCCATTTCTTGAGGCCTTGTAAGCTTTGCCCTGTCCACTTTAGTTAGCATGTGTAGTGTCCTTGTTCAGCTCATTTTGTCAGGGTTTATGGGCTCCTAACACACCTAGGAGACACAATCTCACAGCAAACTCCCTTACCCTCTGGTTCAGAAAATCTTAAGACCCCTCTTCCGAAATGATTCCTGAGTCTTACATGTGGGAGTTCTTTGTAGATATATCTGTTGTGACTGGGTTTTCTGTAATGGTCTCTGTCTGGTGCAGAGAAGTCTCTTTGATGGGTATAAGGACAATAAAGTGGTTGGGGACTCTTTCAAGATCCATGGCTTTAGCAGCCTTGGGGGTTGGACAGGCTTCCAATATGAGGCATGGTTTCCTTCCTGCTGAGTAGGCCTTAGGTCCAATTAGAGAGCTGTTGGTTACTACCAAGGTTGAGTGACACTACTGCACCCTTGGGGATACTGTGCCATGCTGCTTGTGGTTCACAGGAAGCACAGCTAAGTAAGACTGTTGCTTGCTTACTTCCTTTGGAAGCTTGCATGATGCCTTCTGGTACCATAGGAGCTAGTCTTCACAAGACTTAGATCATCAGATGCAGGTCAGGAGACTCTGGGCCCTGTGAAGTATACCGTGTCTTCAAGAGTAGGTAAATTTACCTTCCTTTTTGAGAGGCAACCAAAGACAGCAGCAATAGCCTGTGAGGAGACAATTTTTCTATGTGACCTTAGGGGCCCTGGAACTCACTATGAAGATTAGGCTGGACTTAAAACTATATTATTTTTAAAGCCCCGTATCGTTTATTACATTAGAGGCCACTCTGAGCCAGTTTTACTTACTACTTTTAATCTGTCAGGCATCTACACTGTCAAGTATTTTCCACAGTCTGATTATTTACTATTACCCGTTTTGTCCATAGCCTCTTTTGACTTCCTTCTGTGTGGTTTGTGCTCCCACCCCCAGTCAGCCTCTTCCTTTCCTGCTTACCCGTAAGCACAAAGGAATTTATTTAATGTAGTAAAATGTTCTACCAGGTTCTAACTATAAACTATGGTTAAGGAAATCATAGTAGATCAATGCAACAGGTGTTAATTTTTCTGTAGCTCATACATTTTATAATTGTCTAGTTATTTTAACTTTGACTTATGTGGACTACTAGGAAGACTTGACTTTTTTTTTTTTGTTAACTAAATTTCTGATAATACTTTTCTGTTTTAAGATCAAAGCCATTGGCCAAACAGAGTTGAATGCAAGCAACCCTGAAGAAGTATTGCAGCTGGCAGCACAGAGGAGGAAAAAGAAGTTTCTACAAGCAATGGCAAAACTTTACTTTTAAGCAGTTAGTTAATTTTTTAAACTTTTATTTTTTAAACATGGGCTAAAAATAAACAGTATTAAAAGATTAAGTTTATATAATACATATGTACAATTTAGTGGTGTTTTCTTTTCAGACAAAAACTGAAACAAACTAGTTTTATAAACAAAAACTATACAAGAACGTCACACATTAACAAATAGTTCACAATTTCTTCAAAGAGAGAAAAGGTTTACATGTCTGGTAACCTGGCATCATTTTTTTCTGATGAAATTGACTTTTTAGGCCCAAATTTCTTTTTCAAAGGCTAACTTAAAATATTTAATGTATAAGTAGCTAATCTATATACAACAAGTTTAAATAAATAGATTTCTAGGAGTCAGTATACATTTAATATTTTTTCTGCCATAGAAAATAGAAGTTTAGGTCACATGTTAAGTTCATCTCATAAGATGGGGCTTAAAAATGGACTGCCAGTTTTGCAAACATAAAGCCTACCTAGCTTCACACTATAATTCAGAAATACTTAGGGACAGCTTAGTGCAATAAAGGGACTTTCCTATATAAATAGTTTGAAAAGGCATTAAAGTTTTATCCAGATTGTGATGTATGAAACGACCATAAAGCAACCTTTAGATTAAGTAAAAACCCATAGAAGCCAAAGCATTTATCTTGATTATAATTTCTTTGGTTCTCCCATTGTTTAGAACAGTTTAAACATTTGGTTCGTGCCTTACTGATTAAGAAATATTATGGTAAGACAAACTAAAAACAGATTGAACTTCACCATTTGTAAAAATTCAAGTTTTATCATTGTTTGTTACAAACAGCTTTAGATAAATTAGTCACTGTATTACAAAACAATCTTTGTAAATAAGTTTAAATTTCATTTTCAAAAGACAAATTGCACCATTCAAGAGTATAGGAACTTAGGAATCAAAGTTTTGTGTCAGCGTTGTATCTTTTAAGTATCACTAGTTTAGTCCATATTCCAATGATAAAATAAATCCTAGTTTATCAAGAGAAACACAGTAACAAACAGAAACTGCTACAGCACCAATTGTTGCTGGCTTCTAGCCACTGTCCTTGGGCGTGAAGTCACCCCTGTAAACAAGTCCTCTTTTCTTTTAAACAGCTAGAGGAAATTTCTTTAGTGCCAACTTTTTTTTTTTAAGTTTGTTTTGTTCTTTTGTAGTGCTGGGGATTGAGCCCACGGCTTCATGTACCCTAGGCATTTATTGCCAAATTGATGCAGTTTTTAAACAAAATGGCAGTGTAACTCCTCAGTGGGCAAGGATAGCCACAACACTACTTTCCTGTCAAACTTACTCATTTGTATGAACCTTATCCAGTATCTTTTCAATCCAATTGGATGTTAACTCAGGGTTTTATTGATGGTTTTTCAGTACTCTTCGGAGGTGTCATAATGCCGCCGTTACACACTGGTGACAACTGCCCTCCTTGTCTGAAGGTGCTCACATAGTTCACTTCACTCTGTACATATGAAGGAATTTACCATAATTAACAGCTAAGATAAAACAAGTATGTAGAAGGTAAAACAGATATTATTTGACACTATCAAGCTTACTCTAAGAGTACCTTAAGCCAACTAACTGTTCAGTCCCAGCACTCAGGAGGCAGAGGCAGACAGATCTTTATGAATTCGAGGTCAGCCTGGTCTATATAGCTAACTTCAGTAAGTCCCTGTCTTAAAACAACAACAAGAACATGTTTTTAGTTTCTTATCTCAACTGCTGGTTTTGATTTTGAGCTGCTTCACAGCAATATTTTGACAGTGTTACCGTGTGGCCCAGGCTGGCCTTGAAATCATGATCCTGCTGCCTCAGCCTCCCTACTGCTTGTGGCACCAAGTTGCCTTAATTTTATTATCTCCTTTACATTTTAAAATCAGTGTGACTGTTACTTTCTCCTTTATGATCTTATATAACTGTCTGCCACAGTACCCTCTCCATCAATTGTAGGACTTACTAGATAGCAAGATCTAAAAAACAATAAAAAAATTTAAATTAAAAGAATAACCAATCCCCAAAACAAAAAAACATACCAGCAAAGCCAAATAATTTGTATGTGTCTGGATATTGTGCCTGTCTTCCATGGCTATCTTCTTAAAGGTCTTCAGCTTCACTGGACTTACACTTTTTACTACACTGACAAAAGGCACCATCCAGTCTACACATTCGGAAATGTCCTCCCATTCCAAACCTAAATTGGAAAAGTTAATAAAATGTTAAAGTTATGCCACAGAAACTACCTTAATATGCCCAATGTACTTTGTTCTGCTTCTAATTTTTAAGTCATTTAAAACTCAAAGAAATCATCACACATTAATCAAACTTTATATGAGCCAAAGCTGGAAGAATTCCTAGTTTCTGAAGCCCAGGCTGGCTGCCTCCTGGCCTGGCCTCCCAAGTGCTGGGTCACAGGCTGTGCTCTTCTCCGGGAGCGGTATGTGCTCTTAAGCACGGAGCCACATTTTCAGGCCTCTTCAGAGCTGTTTAACCAGTGCACATTTATAAAGTAGAATTGTGCTTATTTGCTTCAAATGAGTTTCATTTCCACGTATTAGTTTGCTTGTGGAGATACACTAAAGGCTATAAAGTACTTTTAACAGAAAACAATCAGTAAATTATTAAATTGTGAGCTTGATAAGTGTTAAAATTCCTGAGTTCCATTAAAAGTGAACACGTAAGAAGTGAACAATATAGTCATACCTGAGGCTTTCTTAACCACTTCAATGGAGGTAAAATGGCATAAGGCTGCAGCTGCCAGAATTCTGTACTGGAATTCTAATGAGTCAATAGAGAGGATACACAGATCTAAAAGCTGACAAGGAAAAAGCAAAAGTTTAAGTAATTTAAAAGATGTGTATGTTCCTATTTTGTAGCTTATATACCATCGCTGCCAACTCTAAGGTAGGAAGAGAGTTTTAATGTATTAGCAGGGTGTGCACTTCAGCCAGATTGAAAAAAACTAGTGAAGGCTTCTAAATTAGATAATAAACTAGGCAGAAGAATTGGCCAGTAGAGAATGTTTGAGATAGAATGACATTACCAAAGGTAGTATTTCTTATGAAGTAAGTAAGAAATACCTTTCTTCCTTAGCCAGGGTGAGCAGCTGAAGGCAAGGAAAGATAGAAGTAGTCTAGTTAACTTATAAACGCATTTTAGAAGTTAGAGCACTACTACTTAAGTTTATTGAAGCTATTGTAAGATTCTAAATGCAGGAAAATTACACTTTAAAACGGACACAGTAAACTAGACAAGCTAGAATGCAGTATTCTTAGCATCAAGTAGATAGGTAAGTATCATCTTGGTAATGCAATACCGAAACAGTAGCAGTTGCAGTGATATAAAGGCTAGATTTTCAGAGGTTTAAGGCAATTCCTGTTCAGTGAATAAAACTTAAGTTTTATACTCATCAGGCAACAAAGTGACATGAACTGGAAGAGAGCTGGAAGTGAAATACTACCACAGATAGAATATTGAGTAATGCAGTTTAATTAGATTAAATAACAGCAGGTTGGGGATAGTGGTATATGCCACCTTTAATCCCACTTAGGAGGCAGAGACAAGTGGACCTCTGAGTTTGAGGCCAGCCTGGTCTACACAGTTCTAGGACAGCCAGAGCTACATAGTCTTGAAAACAAATAAAATTCTAAAGACAACTGGCTGTGAACATTTTCTCCATTTTATAACAAAGGTATTTTACTCCAATCCCAAGCCATTAAAAAGGGGGGGGGGAATGTTCATAAAAGTTTTAAGACTTTCTTCTCTAGAATTATGTAAATGCTAGGGACAGTATTTTATGGGTCAAAAGGGTTTTGTCAAGTAAGATTTAACTCAGTATGTTACTTTGTTGTGTAGCCTAGGACTTCTATATACACTATCCAAATTTGTCATCGACAATAACATTAGCTATGTTCAGAAACAGGGTCAGTACCTGAGCTATCTGGATGAATGTCTCCTGGGAATACTGAGGTAGAAGAACCTTAGGAACATCTTTAACAGCATCAACTTGGAGAAAAAGATTCAACCAGGAAATGGCTGTTACAGGACAAAGTTCCCATTTTAAAGCCTGTCAATGAAATTTTAAAAAGTCCATTAGTAACTATATATGCATGTATTACATCATATATATATAGTAGAGTTGAGAGGTTAAGTTCCTCACCAACCATCAATCACATTAGTAACTATATATGCATGTATTACATTATATATATATAGTAGAGTTGAGAGGTTAAGTTCCTCACCAACCATCAATCAATACCAATATTTTTGCTGCATTAACCTATAGAATTCTTTGCTCAGATTAAGAAATGAATTTTGGCTCTTTTTAAAAATTTGTTCAAAATTATCTTCATTTTTGGGGTAGGCACATGCTGTGTCTTGCATGTAGAGGTCAGAGACAACTTTTTACACCACGTGGGTTCCCCAGGAATCAAAATGTTGTCAAGCCTCTCTGGCAATTAAATCCCTTTAACTTGCTGAGTCATCTCATTGCCCTTAAGTTTGGCTCTGTTATATCTGAAGTTCATTCCTAACTATTATATTACAAAGCTGCAACCAAGAAAGGACATTATTATTACCTTTAATATATTGAGTTCCATCTTTAATATATCTACTTCACTGCAAGCACCATCAGTGACATAAGCAAACTCTTGGAGTTTGGGAGCGTAGATTTCCTTCAATTTAGAAAATTATTATTAAGTATTTTAAATAAAAACAAAATTATATACAGACTACATGGGCTTCAGTTTTAAGGACAGGTTCACAAAGTAACTATATATCAAAACCATGTAAGTTTGATAAACAGTATATATCTTAATCTGCTATTTCAATTAAGAAAGAATAACAACCTTTTAGATACAGTCTAGTCCGGTGATCAGACCAAAACAAGATTATTCTATAAATAAGTTGGGGCGTGGTTCATTTGATTTGGCTGAGTGCTTGTTTAATGTGTAGGAAATTCCAGCACTGCATATAGCCCTGTAATCCTTTTCCTTGGGAAGTGGAGGTAGGAAGATCAAGGTCATCTTCAGCTGCAGAGTGAGTTCAAAGCCAGCTTGGGCCACTCAAAACAATAGTCTAGAAACTGAACACATTAACTTAGTAAAAATGTATATTTATCAAAACATACTGGGCTTATGCTTGCTTTGGTTACAGCAATACTTTAAAAGACTAATATAGATAAACTATATGAACTAGAGACTAAAATAAAGACCTATGATAATTTCTTCCATCCTCACTATAAAAAAAACAATTCCTGTTCCCTAAATATTTAATACAGAAAATAGTATCCTGAGATTAATGTGTTCACTTAAAATCTAGGTTGACAACAAGACTTATCTGGATGAAATTTAAGAACTTACCTCAAGTTTAGAAGCAATGAACAATGAGGTAATCCCAATGAGTTGAAGCATATTTTTATTTACATCTTTTTGTGTCAACATAAATCTGTCAAAAAAGTCTTGGGCAAGGTAGAATGTCTCCCTATGAAGTGTGTAGACTTCACATACCTGAAGAACCAAGTGTTCAGATGTTATCTTTAGAACTTACCCAAGTTATAAAGTCACCTTTATTATACCAAGTGATGGACTAAAAGAGGCTAACTAACCTCTTTAGGATGCCAGCGCTAACATAAGTGAGGGATTAGCATGTACTGGCAGCGAGGCTCTTATCCTCATTCTCCTACCTTTACAATTTTCTTTTTTGTATTTTATTGCAAGCTAATATAAACATTGGTGTTAAATCTTTCCATGACTTTGGCTTAGTGGGAATTACCCTCCTCTTCACTATTGTGAATAAATACTGCCATTCCCACACTTAAAGGAAAGTTTTTAACTTTCAGAGTTACTCTATGAAATGGATGCCATTATCTCCTTTTTGGAAACGAGAAAATAGGAACAGTAATAGATGAGTTTAAAGCAAACACCGATCATATTAAAGAACTACTCTGTTCCTGTGTTATACTGTTTTAAAATCAGGAGTATGATACCTGGGGTGAACGGCTCAGAAGCAAAGACCTACTGACTCCTAGCACCAGAATCCAGGCCTCTCATCATTGCTTACAACCTCAGTGCTAGGAGATCAGATTCCCTCTTTTGACCTGGGCACCTGCACTCAGGTTATACATAATGAAAATCTTAAAACCAGGAATAGATATTGCATATCAAAAAGGCTCTTTTCCATGTGTGGTCATTTTAAGATATTTCAAACAATGAATTTACTTTTACATTCAGATTAAAAATAAATTTGTCATCATACAAAGTAAAAACTTCTAGTCATACCTGATAACAACCTCATTTTATTGTCTTGGAAACATTTCTGATAATTTTTGAGATACTATATATGTTTTTTCTACCCACTGTCCACCCAGCCTTCCTCACTTAGAATGAATCTACACCCTCCCCCCAGTTAGGGATTAAACCCAGGCTTCACTGTGTTAGGCAAGCATTTCACCATTAAGATATATGCACACACACACACACACACACACACACACACACACACACACACACACACACCACCTGCCCCTCATTTTATTTTGAGATATCATTATAACCTGTACTGGCTTCCTTGAAACTTGTAAATCTTTAACATCAAGTAATTGTTTCCTCAGCACTAATTTGAGGAATTTATAATAATCCAGAGAAAAGGAATGGACCCAAGTAAGAAAAAAAATGTTTACATAGATCTATAGAGATTCCAGGCTTACTGATACTTCTTACATCGATAGTATGATGCATCTTCCTTCCTTCTCCTTTTCTTCTCCTTCTCCTATCCTTTCCTTTTTTTGAGACCTGGAGCGTGTTATGTGGCCTGGATGGCCTTAAAAGTCCTACCCTTCCTCCTCAGCCTTTGTGGACTGCAGGCATACACAACACCCAGAAGTATACTGTATTTCTGAAGGAACAGGAATACATTATAGAGGAAGCTAAATGAGAGAGGACTTAGGGCCTCTGGGTATACAAATACTTTTGGTTTAGGGTATAAAATCAAAATTCATGATGTCTGAGGGCTTTGAAGCCTAAGCTTGTTCTTCATGGGCTTGTACTAAACCCAGTCAACTGCACATTCTACTCACCTTCTGTACCCTTACGTAGACCCAAACCAGGCATGGCAGGGATTTCTGATTTTGTTTTGGGTTGGATCATAAAAGATGTGTTCTTGGGATTTTACTCTCTGCTTTGTTACTGAGGACATACTACCATTGGGATATGCCACCAACTCCTGATTTTACTCTTAAAAAAGGTAGTTGATTTGGGATGATAGCTAAGTGCTGGCCTAACACACACAAGACCTTAGGTTTAATCCCCAGCACTACAAGGAAAAAAAAACAAGTCATATTCTACTTTACGTGCCACAAACTAGTTTGTGCTTCACAAAAGGTAATGGACAGGATACCCTGAAGTCACAGGGAAAGCACACAACCATCTAAAAGTTTTTCATTATAGACACGAGAAATGTCTACTTTTAGAACATACCTCTAAAAGCCAGTCTAAAAGTATTGACCTCATCTGTGGTTCCAGGTCAGAGTGAAGAACTTGAAAGTGTTTGCCATGTACGTATCTGCTCTCCTTCTGCAGCATGTTTTGCCAAACCTCCTGTGAACATCCCCAGCTACAAGAGGGCGGGGGGGGGGGGGGGGGNGGGGACATGGACATAATTTATATTCGGTCATCGATACAAGTTCCGGTTGCACTAACATAACTCCACGTTTCAAACACCCAACTCCAACTTACAATTACAAATTGGAAAAAGTAGCTCTTGGAGTCAACTCCAAGATTTCCACTTATTGGTAAATTTCAGGAATGCTGTACAATCCTTCCTTATAATTTATAAAAGTTATGGTTCAAGGTAACTTTTAAAAAGCAAACTAGAAAAATACTTAAAATATATGATCACAATGTTAATTAAGTCCCAACACTGAAAAATATATCAGCAGCGCCACTTACGGATCAGTATCACTTATGAGGTTAAGGTGGAACAAAGCAGGGGTGGGGACGATGTATTGAAATACAGAACTCTGAATTTGCTCATTCAAATTAAATGTCAATTACTAAATGAATGTTTTCTGTAAGCTTGTACCTCTTAGTCATGTCATAACTGATAGTAAGCTTGGTAAGGAATAAGTGGGTTAAGTCTATTTAAAGTGTTCCCATTTTAATTAGACAACTATTAAAGCTACATTTAAATAATAGTTCAGTTCTGCTAAGTCAGAAGCACGTACCAAGCAAGTGAAAAGGAGTATGGATTTTAAATATATCACTTGCTAACATTTGCAAATAATATTGTCTCATGAAGAATGATACCTATTTCTCAATAAGTGAAGTATTAAAAAGGTAAACTGGTTTCTCTGTCTTACAATGAAGTCAAAAGAAAACACAAGGCATTATTTTAATTCTACCGTTTTAGCCTTTGATTTTACCTTAAATCTGGCAGAGGTGAAGGATTAATAAAAAGGTTTTTAAATCTGTAATTTGTAAATCTAGAGAAGTCGCTTGTTCCTATTTCTTTATGGGGTGTTTCAATGATAATGCAAGGACTGATTCCTCCAGACAGTACAGGCGGCCAACAATTCTGTCATTTCAAAACAGAAAGAGAAAAACTTATTTTTAAAGCCATAGAATTCATACCAGCCTTCATAAATTAAATCCTGATACTACAAGACATTCCTTTAAAAACTGAAACAATAACGAATGTATCTCTAGTATAAAATAACTTTAAAAGAAAGTAGCAGTTCTCTGAGTTTAGAAATTTTAGCAGGGATACTTTTTTAAAATAAAAGCTCTTTCTTAGCAAGTATTTTCTGGTTGAGAAAACTTGAATGCAAAAAACTTAAAAATTCAGTCAAATGGAGTCACTTAGAGGATCTTTTGGGAAGAATTACCATCTCCAAGTGAACACATAGGAGGAAGGGGGCGCAAAAAGCTGCTTGCCAGGCTGTCAGTGAGTGATCTCACATCCTTTTTATGCCAGCGCAGTAGCGATTAGGACCCCAGCCTGTAGCCTGGAAGCGCACAAAGAGCAGTATATAGGCGGGCCTGGTCGCCTGGCCAGCTGCACCGCAGCTCCTTCCTGTCAGGCAGTGACACAGGACTGTACTCTTAACCTTCCCCAGCCCACCCCGTCCAGTTCTGCATTACCCGAATCTCGTACTGATGCTTCTTGCTGATCTCCTCTTTTCCTTTTTTGACATCCTGGAGAATAGAAAAGGCCATTGTAAACTAAGCTCTCAGCAAGCATTTCCTCCCTTCCTTCCTCCCTCATTCTCCTTAAATCACCTGTGCTGTTTTCCTCTTCTTGGCCTGAATTATCTGGGCTTCTTGTGGGGAGTCTGGCTGGCTGGGCTGGGCATGCTGCTGCTTAGCTTGTAAACGGCTACTGCGATGGGTTTTTAGACAGGAAGTTTAATTAGTAAGTCATGTATTTCATAGACAGCAGCTAATTTTCAAACATGTCTCCAAGACTGACAGTGTTACCTGCGTCTCGACATTCTCTTCTTTAAGGTCTATGAAACCCTAAATGGGGGAGAAAAATCAAAATCAAGAACACATTCATTCATTCATTCATTCATTCATATTTTCCAAGTGCCAATTAAAATTGATTCAGAAATGAACAGCTAACGTTACCAGAAGGTGGCCTGAGCCTTTAAAAAAAAATCCAGGTCATTTTCCAAAATACATTAATTATCTCATAGTAATTTTACATATATGCCCTCATTTCCTCAACCGAATTAAACTCGGAAAGTGAGTGCGTTCAGAAATCTGCACAGTACCCCAGCACCCCTGCGATGAGTATTTTTCGGGTATTCACGCATTTCTCTGTGCATCAAGGGTGGGAAAGGCACGTCCCGGCCTCGGCCCGCCAGGCGCCTGGGCGAGCCTCTAAGAGCGGGCTCTGGAGAAGCCGGTTCCGCGCCAAATTGGAGAGCCGCAGTGGCGGGGAAGCAGGGGGTGGAGGGACCCAAGCCTGGTGTCACGTCCTCCAGGCTCCCTTCCCTCCTTCCCGGCCCCGCCCGGCGGGCAGTGCCGCTTGCAGGGGCGACAGGACCCCAATTCCAGAAGAGCAAAAGGGAAAAGTGGAGGGGGGGGGGAATTAAATGAGGAAACTCTGTTCAAGAATTTTTCCCCCCGTAAAGGGACCCACACCTCCATCCTCTCGCGCGGGAGCTCTTCCCCAAATGGGGGTGGCCAGAGAGGCTTTCCCGCGGCCCCTCACTGGGGGTACCCTCACCCCGCGCCTCTCCCGGGCCCCCTGACACGGATCCTGTCAGACAGGGACCGACCTGGGGAACACAGTCGCCCCGGCGGGCTCCCAGCTCTCCGGCCCCCCGTTTCTCCTCTCCCGCGGCTCCCGCCAGCCCAGGACCCCTTCCCTCCCGCAACCCCCTGCGGCCAGCACCTCCTCACCGCCAGACCCTCTACAGCTCGGCTCAGCTGGCGCCGGCGCCAACTCAATATATAGGCCTGGTCCGGCCCGCCCCGCACGCATGCGCCGCAGACTGACACCTCGGCGGGCGCCTTCCCCTCCCCCGCCCGCCCGCCCGCCCGCCCGCGCCCGCCCAGCTCGTCCGCGCGCGCCGCGCCCTGCCCTGCCCTCAGTGCGCGCGGGAGGACGGACGGGCGGGCGCCGAGTGGCCGCAGGGCTGCCCTCCCGGACCGCGCTCCTCCGCCCCGCTCGACACTCCACCTGCGCGCGCCGCGGCTGCAGTCGGCTGACGGGGCGCCCCCCACCGGCTCCCGCCCGCCCTCCGGCTCGCTGTCCGATCTCGGGGCGCCGGGCCGCTGCGGCTCGGCCCCGCAGGGCAGGGACGGGGGGGCCCACCCAGGCCCCGGGGAAGCCGGGTCTTCCCTGCGACCCGCGGAGAAGGGAGCCGAGGGCCCGCCCCTCCGGGAGGAGCCAGACGGCGGCGGCCGAGCCGGCCAATGGCGAGAGAGGACGGCGGCACAACGTGGAGCGGCCGCGGAATGTAAACACGCCGGAGCGCGCGGCCCGCCACGTGCGGGGCCGGAGGCAGCCGCCGGGCGACGAGCCGCTCGGCCGCCCCGGGCCGGCCGCGCACAAGGAGGCGCCTCAGTCCCGGGAGCAGGTACGTGTCCGCCGCGTCCTCCCGCCCCGCCGGCGAGCGGGACACCCTCGCGCCGCGCCCTCCCCTCCTCGTCCCGGTTCCGGGCGCCGTCCCCAGCTGTCCGTCCGTCCGTCAGTCCGTGGGACCCGGCCGGAGGGCAGGACGGGCCGCACCACGTGCGCTCGGCCCCAGCCGCGCGCCCCGCCCCGTCCTGCCCCGCCGCCAGCGCGCCCTGCGGAGCCCGCGCGATCGTCCTGCGCGGGAGAGCAGCCCGCCGGCGATCAAGAGAGCGAGCGCTGCTGGGACGTGGCGGGCCGCCATCGTGCGTTCCGGCTTGGCGTTCCCGCCACCTCGCAGGAGGCCTGCACGCGCCCAGGCCGGGTGTGCGGGTGACACTACGCGCACACCGGAAACAAAGACCCCCCCTCGGGCCGTGGGGCCAGCGGCCGCGCGCGCCCTTCCCGACATGCGCCCCTCGGAGCCCGGGAAGGACCCAGCGCGTGCACCTTTGGATTCCGAGGGCAGTCTCTACACCGGCCTAATGCTCGCTCTCCCCGAGTGACACGTAGGCGACAGAATCGGAGGGAGAGGCACAGAGAATCCTAGGCCTAACAACCAGTAATGCTTTTCACGGCTCTAGAGAGGCGGGAGCGGCCTCCTCCTGCAGTTAGAGACCTAACCTGTGGTGCTGAGAAAGCTCAGTGTGTGTGTATGTATTTCAATAAATGTGTGTTAATGAGTATAAGCAAAACAATGGCCTACAGCCTTGGCTCCATACTGAGTTCGAGACCAGTCTAAGTTACACTGTCCTAAAAAAAACAAACAGATGGCCTGTGTGGGTGAACTTGACCAAGATATACTGAAAAACGAGGGCTGTCATTCACATAGGGTTTGTCTTAAGTATCATATGCGCAGCTTCACTGTAAATGAAGTCATTAGACATGTACTGTGGCTGTATCCTTACTGTATGTGAACAGAGGAGCCGTAGTGAAGACAACATTAGGATGATTCTCTTGGGCATACACCCAAAGGAACTGAGTCAACATTAAAACAAAAACAAAGGCACCAACCTGGGCAGTAATGGCAGTTGGGAGGCAGAATCAAGTGGATCTCTGTGAATTTTAAGCCAGCATAGTCTACATAGTGAGTTCCAAGACAACCAAGGCTATATAGAGAAACTGTATCAAAAAACCAAATAAGTACAAGCATTTATTATGACACCGATATTCACAAATCCTAAATTACAGAATCAACTTTGGCCACTGTCTACATGAATATGCTAGACATACACAATCGAGTATTCTTCACTTATAAAGAACAAGGTTGTATTTGCAGGAAAATTGATGGAACTGGGGCATAATATTAATGGAGATAAGTTTCAGAAAGACGAATATGGCACGTTTTCTCATGCAAAACCTAGATTAAGATTAAAGACAAAGGAGTGGCTCAGTGATAGAGCACTTACCTCTCATGAGTTTGATCCTCAGCACGTTGGGAGGGCATGGTATAGAAAGGGACTGTTTAAAGAGAGACTGAGCAAGGGTGGATGATGGGAGAGAAATAGGAGCAAGGTTTTTTGCAGCCTTAGAATGTCATGGTGAACTCTTTCTGTATAGCTAATATGTACTGATAAAAAAGATTAAATTTGGTAGTGTACAGAGACTTCTTCCATATCAACTAATCAGAATTGATGACCAGTAAATACAAGCCATTCTGTCTCTTATATACCCTTCCTCCTTACCAGGAGTGAAAACAGTCTCAGCCCTCTGTCAGGGTGGCTGGCACGGGCCCCTAGTCCTAGCCATGGAAAGCAGAGGCAGGTGGAGCTCTGAGTGTGAGCTCAGTTGCAGTATGTGCTGGGTATTTCCTTAGGCACCGTCTTAAGGATGTCGTCTCTTGTAAGTCAAAGTTCATTTTTGGTGTACTTTTTCCCTGCAGTCACTCCAGTTTTCAGTTTACCTGCTTTAAAATGTATAAAACTCTGACAGGCATGAGGACCCACAGCTTTAATCCCAGCAGAGCAGGTGAACTCTTAAGTTCCAGGCCAGCCTGGTCTGCATAGTGAGCTCCAGGACAGCCAGAGCTACGTAGAATGAGTATAAAATTCCTTTATACATTTAGAAAATTTGGCATTTTCTGAAGAACCTACTGTGCGTGCCCTGAAATCTGGCTAATAAACTGTTAAACTCTACAACATTTCTTGGAGTAATTATTTTGATTCAAGGAACAGGTTTCTTTATTTTCCAGAAAGCCGGGTTCAAGGTTTATACCTGTTGTTCTGGTTACTGATAAATTGAGGCAGGCTCCAAAGCTAATCTGGGCAGGGTAGTAAACCCTGTTTCTTTAAAATAAAGTCAAACCCAGCTGACATACCTCCAGTCCCTGTGTCTTTGCCATGCCTTCTCTACAGTCCTCCTGGATCTTAGTTTGTACCCCATAGTTTGTCCTCTAAACAAGACACCAGTGCCTACGTAAGCCCCGAACCTAGAGCCTCCTGTGTAGATACCACAGGTATATTCTTGGCCACATTTTTACTTTCAGTTTTTTGAGATAGGGTCTCAGTGAGTTTTCTGGGCTGTCCTTGAGTTTGCAACTCTCCTGCCTCAGCTTCTGACTTAGCAGGGATTACAGGTCTACACTACCAGGCCCATCTTTGTTCATCTTTTTATAGGTAGTTAGCGCATGGCTCAGAGAGGTATGTTGTAGGACCTTGGTAAATGCTAGTTTGATGGATGATGGGTAGGAGAAGGTTGTGAGACAAGATCTCACTGTGTAGCCCTGGCTGCTCTGAACTTGTGTTGTAGACTAGGATGCCTTTAAACTCAAAGGGACCTGCCGTCTCTGTCCGAACTCCTTTATACTCTTTCTCTAGTTAGCTTCTCCAATAGTTTAAAGCTTACAGAAAAAAGAGTGGGCAGAATAGAGCTCCCATGTCTCTCTGCCTGCTATATATACTATATGCATGTATATGTATATGTTTAAGTCATACATACATATACATCTAGTGCCACAGCATATCATACTATATGCTATATATATGTAAATCGTATATACACATATCTAGTGTCACAGAATATCATATACTATATGCATATATCTAAGCCACACATACATATATATCTAGCGACACTGTATATCATATACTATATGCATATATATGCATATATGTAAGTCATATATACATATATATCAAGTGCCACAGCATATCATATACTATATGCATATATATGTAAATCGTATATACACATATCTAGTGTCACAGTACATCATATATACTGTATGTATGTATGCATACACATGTAAACGTATATACATATATAGCTAGTGTCAAATGTTTTGTGGTGATGTATTTGTCATTAATAAGTCGGTGTTGATGTGTTGTTGTTATTATTAACTAAAATATATGTTCTATTCTGTTTTCCTTAGTTTTTACCTAATGCCTGTTTGTTTGGCTTTGACACAGGTTCCCATGACTCTCAGGATGGCCTTGAATTCTGTTGTAGTTGAGGATAATTTTGAACTTTATGCCAGCGCTGGGATCACAGGTGTACACTATTATAACCAATTTACAGGGATCTGGGTGGGACTATAACTTATTTAGACAGGGTCTCTCACTGTCTATAGCCAGCTCAAGCTGGCCTTGACTTGCTAGCAAAAGTTGACTTGAACTTGTGATCCTCCTGCCTCCACGTCCTAAATGATGGGATTCCAGGCATTCGTCACTGTGACAGGCCTTACCTGTGTTTTTATCCCTCCACAAGCACTTTCAGATATACCACATTCAAATGTGTATCAAATGTGTCTGGAGTTTCCTTTAGCCTGTGACAGGTTTTCAGCCTTGCCTTGTTTTTCATGACTGAAAAATTTTAAGAAAGCTTAAAGGCTTACATTACAGGCAGTTGAAGGTTTTGGTTTTTGCTTAGGGATTGTGGCTGACACCTAGAGACCCCTATGCAACCGTACAGTTCAGGCACCTCCTCATAGATTTCTCTTACCTCCAAAGAATGGTTGGTGTACATGCTCTTCTGGGCTTGCTCCATGTGTTCATGAGCAGATACTAAGTCAACATAAGGACTTCTATGTATTAGTCTGCTTGGTCCCTAAGATAATTTACCATACAGAAAGAAATTTCCCAGTGACTGCAGGGACCCAACTAAAAGGACCCTGTAACTGCCCTTACATTGGGCATTCTCCTAAGCCTCAGGCTAGCAGGTGCAGAAACTGGAATAGGCCACTGGCAGTCTAAGACAGATATTATAATGACCTGTGATCAGCTATTGACTTGGACATAGAAGGTTAGAGAGCTCCATAACCTGTTGTACGGAGAGGCCGCTTATTTGTTTCCTGGCTGCTCTGGCAGCTCAGACCTGAAATAATCACACAGAAACTATATTATTTAAAATACTGCTTGGCCCATTAGCTCTAGCTTCTTATTGGCTAACTCTTACATGTTAATTTAACCCATTTCTATTAATCTGTGTATTGCCACATGTCTGTGGCTTACTGGATAAAGTTCCCGTGGGGCTGCATAGCTTCTCTCCAACTCGTCCTTCTTTGTCCCAGCATTCAGTTTATTCCCCCCCGCCCCCCCCCACCTCTATTTCCTGCACAGGCCCAAGACAATTTACTTTATTCAGTAATGGTTATTAGGGCTGGAGAGATGGCTCAGTGGTTAAGAGCGCTGCCTGCTCTTCCAAAGGTCCTGATTTCAATTCCCCAGCAACCACATGGTGGCTCACAACCATCTGTAGTGAGATCTGGTGCCCGCTTCTGGCCTGCAGGCAGAGTACTGAGAATACTGTATATGTAATAAATAAATAAATATTTTTAAAAAAAAGCAAAAAAGTAATGGTAATTAAAGCATACAGAGGGGAATCCCACATCAGTAATCCATTTATAAGAGCCCCTAACCTCCTTAGCCAAGGTAGTGCTGCAAAACAAGAGAGGACTAGACCTTATATTCCTCCAAGGTGGACTTTGCACATCATTGGGAGAAGAATGTTGTTTTTATGTGGACCACT